CGCCCGCGGGCGCCGCCGCCGCCGCGCACACGCAGGTGGGTGACGGCCCCTTGGCTGCGCCGCTGCCATAGGGCTGATAAACGGGGAATATTGGTGAGGAGGCGGCTATTCCAGCTGCAAATCCAGCTCAATCCACCGTGCGGAATCCACGAGGGACAGCAGGTCGCCACGCTTAGACTCCTGCCACGCTGGAGTCAATCTGGACTCGCAAACTCCTGAAAAATTGTCCCGTGCTTCCTGCAGCACCTGCTGCTCTGGTGCGTCCTCATCTCTGCCTATCCCGAGTGCTAATTCCACTGCTGGCAACCCTGCAGATTTCAAGTGCTGCCACTGTTAACTAACTTACCCCTTTTAGGCGTAGCACCATCCCAAAGGATTATGTTAAAATGTTTGACTGCTTTTGGGGTTTTGATTGGTTTAAATAGGCCTGATAAGAATGATTTACAGGGTTGTATTTTGTTTATTCTTAGGTTAATCTTTAAGACCATCAAAAAGTACTTATTCTAACCAACAGTGCGGCAGTTAGGTCATCCGTGCATCCAGGTAACACGATCAGGGGGCCTTTAGATGGCTGGTTAGGAAGATACTTGTGATCTTTTGTGTGCGCATAAACTTCATCTCCACAATCCCAGAAGGAAATGCTTAGCAAGGACAAATTTCCACTTCCTTTTGTTCTAAGTCATTTTGATGAAAAGGATTTTGGTGGTTGTTTTTCGCAGACCTCTGGAACGTCCTGCACTATTTTGGAAGCTGCCAAACATCAAGACCTGGGGTTACCCAGAACGTTCTCTTTCTGTTATCATCAGGAAATTGAATCCACGAAGCAGGCAGTGGGTGCTAGGAATAAGGCTTTGCCTGAGCAAGTTTGGATCAAAGTTGGAGGTAAACCACTTTTAGCAACTTTTCCCTTAGCTTTCTCTGCCCTTCTTTTTCACATCTATATATTTTTTTTCCAAATTTATTTTCTATAATGAATATGATTTTACTGATGCATATGAGATGTGCTCACTGTTTCTGGGAAACACAGTAGACTATCGGACTAGATTTCTTTTTTTAAAAATGTTCAATTTTAGCTATACTTTCAGAATATTTACACACTGCTAGTTTGAAATGAGAGAAGCTGAGGCTGCAAAGTGCCTTTGAAATTCTGAGCCTTCTCTAAGTAACTGGATTCTGTGAATTTGTTAACCTCAAATTTGGCATAGCAGAGCCAGCCAATATCACTTAGGAACACTTAAAGGACTTCCTCAAAAGTTCGTTAAAAACAGGCAGCACCTCAGTAATTTCTTTAAGAAAATAGAAACCAGGTGGATTTTCAAGCAGAAAGCAGTGAATTAGGGCTTCCTAAGGACATTTTGCTGCTGGAAGTGTTAATCTAGGATGGCAATAAAGCTTCAGAGATTAATCCCCATAAATAAAATGACAAAAAAAAAAAAGTGATCAGTAGTTGATGAGAATTGCACTGGTAATAGCAGGGTTTTAACTAAGGCTCTTGTTGTCCTCTCTGTTTTGCAAAGAAGACGCCTTGTGCAAGCAGGCGCTGAGCAAGCGGAGCCGCAGCCGGCTGAGCCCCCCGGAGCCGGCGGAGCGCAAACCCCTGAGCGAGATCCAGAACACGCGCGAGGGCGCGGGCGCCGCGGCGGCGCCGGGGCATTGGACGGATTTCGCTTTACCTCCAAGAAAAAGCAGCACGGGGGATAAAGTGTTAGATGTTTATTAGAGGGGACATGGATGGTGGGCTTGATGTTGTTTTACTGCGTGAGAGAAAAAAAAGGGCATAAATAAAAACACATAACAAATTTCTGTCGATAAGCCCGTGGCTAATACATAGACATGTGTCTCTGCATAGCCCGTGGCTAATACACAGACATGAATTTTGAGGCTAACAGAAGATTAAGTTCCCCAAAGGCCGTGGCTTTTAGCAACTTGGGGCTAGACATTTTTGTTTTCTTTTTGTCTGTCTTCTCTCCCACCCCATTTGGCTGACAGTGGTTTGTTTTTCCGCAGGCGCAGAATCCGGATTTGCTGTGATGAACTGAATCTCCTGGTTCCGTTCTGTACTGCTGACACCGACAAGGCAACAACGTTACAGTGGACAACTGCTTTTCTGAAGTACATTCATGAAAGGCATGGAGACTCTCTGAAAAAGGTTTTTAATCTAACTTTGTTTCAAATGTGAACATAGTTCAAATCTATCAGAATGGAGCTAAAAGAATGTGCAAGGGTTTTGCTAGATGGTATTTACTTTATAAAGGGTCAGTGTAGCACTGAATATTCCTTTAGAAACCTGCTCGTGGAGATACTTGCACAGCCCCATTGCTGGCTGGCACAGCGTGCGTTTCCGTGCGCTAGTCTCCTGAAAAACACTGTCTTGCATCATCATCTACCTTAAACATAATCATTTTTATGCTTTGATTTTAGGAATTTGAGACTGTGTTCTGCGGTAAAACAGGCAGAAGACTAAAAATAGCAAGATCAGACTCATTTGTAGCGTGTCCAGTGCAGGAAAACGCACCCGGCTTTGGGGACCAAGTCGTCTGACCCGACCCGCTCAGGCGGCCTGGGGCGGCCGGCACCGCCGCTTGGCTTCTGCCCGGAGGTGCTGCCCCCCGCGGGAGTCACTTGGGTTTCCTCATGTGAGTAACTTGTCAGGCTCCAGGACGGTCTTGCAAAACACAACGTGTAGACATACAGTAACAGAGCATGGATGAAAACATTTTTTTATTCAAAATGGAAATGAAAGTTAACTACCAACAGTACCAATCAGTTCGCTCACAGCTGGACTTAGGGACCAGAGGCAGCAGAAAATGTCACGACACCTGCTCAGTATTTTCCCCCTTTAGCTAGCAAAAATCTCCCCTTTTTTCTGTTTGTGGTTCTGCACTGCGCTTTCCTTTCCTTTTTTTTAAAAAAGAACATGGCCTGGGCCAGGTAGGGATTGTTGTAGAACATCCACTGGTCCTTCACTGACTAAACGCAAATACATTCTTTAAGTGTAAAAAGAAATTAAAGATGCCATTATAATGCCCTTTTATCAATTAAAAGTTATATTAGTTAATTGAATAAGTGCATAGTTTCCAAATTGAACGGCTACATGAAGTTCACATTTGCCATGAATGCTTTAACACATCCCTCCCCAGAGTAATACAACGCCATCAGCACTGGCTTTAAAGAAGTCCAATAGTTTCTTGTATCGTTACTTCAGTCCCAAAAAGGCATATTGTAAACAGTGTATTATTTAAATGCACAAACTATTTTCATGTTTAAAGATTAATATGGCTCCCTCGTTCATAAACTTCAGCATTTAGGACAGAGGTAGAATAGTTTGTGAACTGAGAGTGGCTTTATTATTATTATTTTAAATAGATGATGCTAACAGGTTTTAAAGTACAAAAATGTCTCCAAAATAAATACTGTTTAAAATCACGGATATTCACAATTTTTCAGCAATTTATTTCCAAACAATCCTCATAAAAACAGTTCAGGAAATGGCGTTTGTCAAAGCATTGCTGTGTATAATGAAACTTACAGCATCACAAAGAAAAGGTTAAAAAAAATCTCCTTTTATTTTTACAACAGTTCATACAGTTTTTTTTGGCTGGTCTTTAGAAGAGCATCCCTTCTTAGTTGGAGTCTTGTTCACAGTGACTGTGCAAATAGCTTAAGTAGAGGTCATGAGAATGCTGTTACTTAATTTCCTTTATTATTAGATGGAAATATACAAAAAATTTCCCCTGCACCTTAAAATACGTTCATTGCATCTGTTGCAGAATCTGATTGCAAGAGGTCTACTCTTTATTAGCCTTTGCAAATAGTTGAGGTGCAACCAGGAGGTGGACAGGAAACATAGACGGGCTGTGATCTTCACCTAGGCCAGAGTCTTAAAAATACTGGATATTTATACGACTAATTTCCATTGCTGTAAATAGCAGGTGGGAGCCTAAACACCTCCACGTGCAGGTTAGTGCCTGGTCCTGCACCACTGCAGTCAGTGGGAGCAGCGCCAGGGAATGGAGGTGGCTCCAGCGCCCGCACGGAAGAGCCGGGATCTCGGGGAGAGTTGGGGGCCTCTCAGTAAAAAGGACCAATGCTCCCTCAGGCGGCTTCCAGCTAAGGCAGAAAGGGAAGGGGAGACTTTTTTTTCCCCAGATCTTTACTGCTAACAAAGTAGGGGGAGGAGAAAATACTCACAAACCATCTTTTATTACAAGTTTTTGCCTGATGCTTTTTTTTTTTTTCATAGAACTGAATTGCTATGTCAAAGTCTCCACTTAATTCATTTTAATAGAAGGAACATCTGTCCGTTTATCACTAGGAGGATTCTCGCTGTTTTCTCACAATGCTCTGTTTACTTAAATATTCAGTCACTTTTCCTCTGCTCATAGTGTTGTTTTATGATTTTTTGGAAGTTGATGCTCCAACAGCTCCCATGCAGGCTGACGTGTCGCAGATTCCCGGAGTTCCCTGAGCCCCAATCATCCCGGGAGTACCAGGATCCCCTGGAAGACCGGGTTCCCCTTGAGCACCATCCCGACCATTTTTACTTATTCCAGGTACACCGGGTGGTCCTAAACAAGGGGCAAAAAGAGAAAGATTTCATGAAATATTATCTTCCTTCCTTCCTTCCTTTATTTTTATTTTAAAAAGAAAAAAAATAGTTATTTTTAGTTATTAAAATACTTCAAGTGTCTGTACATCAGACTTGTTATGGCCTGTTGAGTAGAGGGTGTTAAATAAATTTAGCCTAAATTTGGAGCATGTGCATTGCAGTGGTTCGTATATCACGCCACGAATAACAGGAGTTGATTTGGAACGAGGATTATTTGGCACAATCCCTGTTTCCCAGGGCCGCACTAGACGGGAGCGCCCAGGGGCTGAGCTCGTTCTGGCTCTTTCCACTCATTTTGCCTCCTCAAGGCCAGCAGTGATAAAGGCTGAATAAGGGTAGAAGAGCAGTGAGAATGAACACCTAAAAATCCCCTTCACGTTGCCCTGTGCAGCTTCCTTTATACCTTGCACTGAGTTTCCAAAACTCCTCCTTGTAAAAGGCACATTCTGTTTAGAGCCAAAATGGTTTCTGCTTAGGACAGACCCAAGCGATTGTTTTGGAATTTCTTTTTTCTTTCACATTCCAAACAATTCACAAAACTCTCAGTTCTGTAATGACACTGTGTGACACACGCTACTGAAACGCCCTTAAATCCTGTACAATGAGATTCTCAGGGACAGGGGCATCAGGCAGTCGATAAAGCTGCCTTCCTACCTTAATTATGATACAAAGAAGTGCCTGATCCTATTTGTAAGAATTGCAGCTGCTGTTTATTTCATTATATTTCATGATCTTACTGGGTACAAAGTAGCATCTTTTTATAAGCTTTGGAAAAGCAAACATGCATTTAATTAATGCACTTATTTTATAGAGAAATCTGGGACACCTTGTATAAAAGTATTCTGTTTTTGTGGAATTATATGGATGGAGAGCCTGCTTCTGGTGCCTTTAACATATTCATTGTGTAGATATAATCACAATTAGAAAACTGTTTTAATGGGTAAGAAAAATAAAGAATTTTCCTTCACAGTTTCTAAGAGATATTCATTAATTTGCCTAAATGAATCTCTGAATCCTCTGATAAGGATTCATGGGAATCCTTCTTCCCCCTTGGGAAGTGGGATTAGAGGCAGCTGCAGAGCGGCAACAGCCGCAGGCCCAAAATCACTGTGCGAGCTGCTGCGTTGTCGTCTGTTATCCAAGGACAGCAGAGAAACACCCCAGAAAACAACCCCCGGCGCTGGGAGCTCTTGGAAGGGATGAGGAAGGGCTGTGACATCGAGATCTTGACGAGGCCCTGCTCTTTCACAGCCGTTGGGTGGCAGGGACCAAGGCCAAGAGTCCTGCTGTCCCCAGCAGCCCTTCCTCTAATAGGATTAGGACGAGATGGGGGCGCAGGGAGCGGGGATGTGCAAGGGGGGCACCACTGCCTCACTGGGCACACCTGCTGGCTGTCCCTCCTGCGCCGACAGATGCCACCAGAGGGGAGGAACCCTAAATAATGTCATACTTGCAGGGAAAATGCATTACAATGAGCTGCTGACGACACGCAGAGCGGTCCCTCTCTAGCCTGTAATTAGTCGCGGGTTACTCAATGTTGCAGCGTTACCTTGAAGCCCTTGATCTCCCTCCGGCCCATCGATAGCTTGGCCGACTGGTCCTTTATCTCCCTTTTCACCAGCGTCTCCTGCAAGAGAAGCAGAATCTCAACACCAGCTGCCCAGCACAGCCAGAGCAGAGCACAGGCTGGAGGAGGCCTTCAAACGCGGCGCCTTGCCGGGAGCCACGAGTCCAGCCTCACCTCTGGGCCCGGGATCGCCGAGTTCTCCCGGCGGCCCCCGGTAGCCGGGGGGACCGCGAGCCCCGGGATGCCCAACGCTTCCCATGGTGCCGGGAGGTCCGGGCGGGCCGGCGGGGCCGGGACGGCCCGTCATGCCGGGGGACAGCGGCTTCCTCAGGTTAGCAGCGAGCTGGGCGATTTGATCTGCAAACACAGGACAGGCAAAACTGCAGCCAGCGGCCCCGCGCCCGCCGCGCTGGCTGCCACCAGCGCGGTCAGCGGAGGGAGCAGCTGGAAACCGGATTTCTGGCAATAGAGGCGGCTGCTCAGGCAGATTTCCTGCTCTCTGCCACTCCTACACACTTGCTGCTTCTAGCAGAAGGATGCTAAACATTCCAGAATCTGTCACATCGGCTCACTCGGATCTTTTTATTCTCTTAGAATAATAAATCTCTAGCCACAGATGGAGATTTTGGGCCACAATCCGTAGGATTTTTAAGCCACTGATATTTCCTGCTTCCCAAACCAATTTTTAAGATTTTTAAATATTCTGGAGAACAACACTTCAATTATCAACGCAAGTTTTGCTGTTTTTGGCTTCATGCCCTTGGTGAACCTACCCTAAATGCAAAACAGCAGCGTGAAAGAAGTAACATTCCCTGGAGGCCCCTGAGGGGCAGAGGATGGGGGCAAACGGGGGCTCAAGTCCCGAATGAGGAAGGTCGGGAGAGGCTCCGCAGGGCAGCCCTTGCCAGCAGCCTCCTGCCAGCTGTGTCAAAGCTGCTCCTAGTACCTTTGGCACGTTACCACGGTGAATGATGCTAAAATAATAAACTTAGAAGAATGTCCTGGACAATAAGACGACCTCCTGAATAACTGCTTTACTTTAATGTCGACATATTTTTCCCTATTAAATCAGAGAAATAATAGATCTCAGGGGTCATGTCATACTGAGGATCTCCATCTCTTCAGCTCACTGTGTATTTAAAGTCCCTTTCCCCAGCAGTACTCACCATTTATCATTTCCCCACAGAGTTCCCTTATATGTTGCTCACTGGCCTCTTTGCCCTGCAATTAAGAAAATAATCCTGCCTTAAACAAACCCACATTATTGATAATCACCCCTGACAAACCTGAGGGCACTAAACTCATTTCCAGGAGCTCATAAAAAGCTGCCAGGATCCCTCATGAGGATGCATTTCTCACCTACATCATGATAGCTCCAACGAGAAGTTGTCATGACCTTAATAGCAGGGATTAATTTTAATATTTGAAGCCAGATATTTCATCGTGAATTTTAAAGGTTATTTGGCCTTTCCTGAATGATGAAGCATTAACTCTGTTCAAAGATAGATACCTAACATTTGGAGTAGCGAGTAAGAGTTACACTTTTAAATGATCAACAACTTCTAACTCACTTTTCTAATGAAAACCGTCACCTAACGCAGCCCATTCTAATGAATGCAGAAAGTCTATAACAGTGTGAGAGAAGATTAATTCTCCAAGGCATGAATTTGCAGAATTTACTTTTAACTCTAAGCTTGCAAACTGCGTCGATCCCGTTGCCCTGGCAAGCTGCTGCGGCAGGACCGAGCGCTGCGTGTGCCTCTGCCTGCTTCTGTCCCCCCAGATCAGGCCAAAACGAGGTGCTTTTAATCAGCATCCAAACTCCACCCTGCATCTCTTCCCATGGGGAACTCCCTGACTGCACCCTCAGCGCAGGGAACACTCACAGGAGGGCCAGGCTTTCCTGCGATGCCGGGGACACCCTGCACTCCCTGGAAGCCCATGGGCCCCGGATGTCCAGGAATCCCAGGAACACCAGCAGTCCCGTTAGGTCCTTGGGCACCTTTAGGACCAAGCTCTCCTCTTTTGCCTGGCTGTAATGAAGAAAAAGAAAAGGAAAAAAAATAAGATTAAAAAGGAAGACATGGTCCGTTATGCTCTATAGGGGCTTAATTAAGCTTTTCTTCCCATTTCCCTAATGGATCTGGCTGACCACGTGTTTCTTGCATTATATGGGTGGTTGGACATCAAGGTCTTGATAATTAGAGTCCATGTCTGCACTGCAACAAAACGAACCAAACCCTGTTTGTACCATTTGATTGTCACAAAGAATTGTCACTGTCACAGGTTTTAGGGCACGGCGGAGGGGAAATCTGCTTCTAGGGAACATGCAGGTCCTGGGGACTCCTCCCCGGGGAGGCACCAGTGCGTTTCCCCCCACACCCCCAGCAGAGCCTGCGGCTCCGGCACCTACCTCTCCTTTCTGGCCGGGAGGACCAAAGGGACCCTAGGGGGAATAAACGGAAAATATGAAACAATAAAGCCATTAAAAAGGGCACATCTGAATCAAATCCACCTGCAGAGCTTAGGGAAGCAGCAGTATGGAGCAACTCATGGGCTCTTCTAGTTCAGGCGGCAGCAACGATGCCACGAGGTGACCTGGGGAGGTGACACTGTGGCCCGGAGGCTTGGGGCACCTTTTCCCTGGCAGAGCCAGGATTCACGGTGGCTCCCGGGGCTCTCGCGCGGGCGATTCCTGCCGGCCCCGTCGGCTCCCCCCGGCCCACGGCGCGCGCGGCCCCCCCCGCACCCACCAGCTCCCCTTTAGGCCGTCGGCGCCGGCGATGCCCTGCAAGGGAGACAGCAGTGTGAGCGGCCCGCGGCGACGCCTCCCGCCAAGGCCCCTTTGAGGAGGGCAGCCGGAGCAGCCGGAGCCCTGCGGAGCAGCCGCCGCAGCAGGGGGGCTCCTCTCGGCCCCTCGGGGGCTCTGACCCGAGGGGACTTTTCACAAGTCCCGTCCAGCGAACCTGAAGGGCAGGGTCCCCAGCTGGGGGCTCCCATGGGGTGGCAGCCGCGCGGTGCCCAGCGTGGCCTCCCCCTCAGCACAGCCCTGTCCAGAGCTGCCTCCTCCCCTCCTTGCACAGATCCAAGGGGATCCAAGCCCTCGTGGCGAGGAGCCTCCCCCGGGCTCGACCCGGCTCACGGGGCCTTTCCTCAAGGGGATAAGGACCAGGGACCTGTCCAGCCCCTTCCTGGAGCCAACATGGACACGGGCACCTTGAGCAGCACCACTTGCTGCAGGCAGCGTCTCCCACCCCACGCTCATTACACAGCAATTAGAGCAGCTAATGAGCCTCCTTAGGGTGACCACGCTGCTCTGCAGAGGGGTTATTGCAAGGCAAATGGGAGCTGGATGGATCTTCCCCTTAGCAACAGAACGGAGACCCCGCAGCACCTGGAATCTGCAAGCAGACCTGGGAATGCTCAGTGAAGAAACACACCGTTTTTGGCAAAGAAACCCCAGCATAAGTTATATAATTGATGCAAATTGGCTCAACGCTCCTCACCAAGACTAATCCAAATGAGGAAATTAAGCAGCAAAATTAAGATATTAAAGGAATCTCTCAGCCTGTCTGGGGCTGGGGTGAATATGAACCCTCTGCAAGAGCCGCAGGAGCTGCCCGGGACAGGCTGCCCTTCCCAGCCCGCCCTGGGCTACCAACCACCAGCTCAAACCTGGCTTTTCTACCACAGCTTCTTTATGTGCCGCTCCCGTCAAGGCAGGAAAAATGGAAACAGAAAGTGCGTTGTTGGCCTCTGCTCCGCTTTCTTTTACGGGAAGGAGCGGGCGGCAGCGAAAACCCAGCGGAACGGCGGGTTGGAACACGAGGTGACGGCACAGGACGAGCAGCGCCGCTTACCTGGGTGCCCTTGGGACCAGCGGCGCCCGTCGGACCCTGGGAATGAGGAAAAGAGGCAGGGGAGCTGGAGCTGGGGCCGTCCCGCAGCCTGCTGGGGTGGCCAGAGAGTCCCTTCAAGGGCACGGGATGGCCACGAGCCTCCTGGGCACGGGGCACTGCGTCTCCTCCGCCTTTCTTGGCAGGAAGGAGAGATTTGGAGCCTTCCTGCTGGTTTGGTGGCACCACAGGGCACAGCCAGCTCCGGTTCAGGGACCCTCCTCACAGTTTTGCCACTCCACCAGCTCAGCAGGGTTAACGTTTTTCCCTGGGCACTTGGTTCATGCCAGCCTGTAGCGAGGAATCCCCGACAGAAGCATCACCCCGGGCTGCTGCAGCACTCGGAATTCCCAGGAATTTGTTCCTAATAAAGATCTTCAGAAAATGTGTTTGCTCATTACGACCTCCCCCAGCAATAACCGTCAAATCCACCTTCTGCCCAATATTCCACATCAGCTGCAAGAGTGTCTCTGCATCATCCCAGTGCTGTTGCTCATCTTAGGGCCTGCTGCACGCAACTCTCCTACTCTCTATGCCAGAACAGGGAACTTGTTGCCATGTGGGTTTATATTCCTGACCACAGTCCTGCAGACTGTGGAAAAAAACCACGTCAGCACCTGTTAGCTCAGGCAGGAAGAACCATATTTCTTTGCAAAGAAAGAAAACTCGGCTGCAGCAGAGCTCGGCGAAGGGCTGGGTGCAGTGGGGATGATGGGGAGGTACCGACCCTTCCTTTGAGCCTGGATAATCTCCAGGGATGAAGCCGGCTCCGGCTCGGCCGCGCTGCTCACTCACCCCCAGCACAACAACCCAACTTCCTCTGGCTGTGGAGACCCGTTTGGAGGGTTTAGCCCCTTGCCAGGGCAAACCTGGTGCCGAGCAGGGAGGGTGGCGGATGGTTTCACAGCAAATGCAGAGCCAGAAACAATCCCGCCGTGTTCCCGCTGCCGGTCCCGCTCCGCCAAGCGCCGGATTTTCCTCCCCTCCGCTCGGAGCGGCGCCGGGGGCCGCACGTTTCTCCCCGCAGCGACGTCCTGAGCACAGACGGGGCCCACAATAACCCTCCTGTTCTGCCCTTCCAGCCTCGCGGTGCTCCCAACTGAGGGGCCTTTTGAACCGTGCCCGGAGCCCAGCACAGAGCAGCCCTTGTGGAGCCCGAGCTGCCGCGGGGGTTATTTACACAGAAGCGTCACCTCGAGGCCGGTGTCGAGGAGCTGCCAACACTCGGGCCCTGCTCTCCTGCAAGCGCCGCGCTCGGCCCCGCTGGTGTCTTCAAAACCAGGACGAATCCATTTAAAATGAGAACGAATCCATTTAAAATGAGAACGAATCCATTTAAACAAAAAGCAGGATTTATCCTGAGCTGTGGGGCCCAGGGATGCGGCTGCTCAGAAAGAAAGCACTGAGCAAAAATAAAATTTTAAGCAGTCCAGAAACCCTAATCAAACCTGTGAGTAACAGAGTGGGTGAATCAGCTCTCTTGTGCTCCCAGGAAGGGCCCTTCTGGTGAAGTCAGTATAGAGAAGAGGAAAGAAAACAATACTTGTCTGCTCTGGCTAGGGTATGGTCCCAAAAGCCTCTTTAAAATATTCCATTCTGTCTAAAAATAGTGGGACTTCTAGGAACCGAAATGGAAGCCTGGACAGAAACATGAATCAAACTATAAAAGAGACAGAACCTGTGATTTTTGTTATAATAAAAAAAAAAAACAGCAAATCAAGAATGGTTGATGTGCCCTGACATTCCCACTGCCCTGCAAAAGCACCAGAGCACGTCCATCCAACCCGGCGCCGGAGCCAGTGGCTCTAGGACAGGGATGGATGGGGAACTTTGGGATCTTCAGGGGGAAACTTTGGGATCTTCAGGATGTTCCTGGTCTCTACATTACCTTATCTGAACACCTCATAATCATTCATGAATTTGTCTTTACAGTACTCACGAGAAGCTGGAAATTGCTCACCCCAATTTTGCAGGTAATTATCTGAGCCTCAGACAAACCAATTCCCTTATCCAAGGTCACACGAATTCTGACTCCCATCCTGCTACTAAGGCCTTTGGTGAGAGAAATCCCTCTTTGGCTGAGTCCTGAGGATTATTTTTCCTACATTTCCACTCTCCTTGGGATAGAGCTGGTCAGAGGGCATCTCCATTCTTCTTCAGTCTCTCAAATACTTTTAAATTATTCTATGAATAATTAAATTCAATTATTGAATTTACCGTGAAATTCAATACAGGGATTTTATCGTTCTAGGCTATTCATCACTTTGGCTCCCCCGAGTGATGTGAGCAAAGTTAGACACTAACTCAAAAATAGATTTTAGAGATAGGCTGGATGCTGAAGGCCCCAGAGGTTAAGATTATTTTTCTACAGGGTCTGACTGGGATGCCCAACTGCTGGTGTTCTCCAAGTTTTGTGTCACTAAAGCAGGAATTAGAAACAGGCATCTTCCTTTCCTTACCCTGTCACCAAATTCTCCACGAATTCCCGTTGGACCAGGAAGGCCAGGTTCCCCACTGGCACCTTTGGGACCCTGTTAGGAAAACACAAAAACAGTTACAGTTACTTTAAGTGACAAAAAAAACCATGACACCCCCAAAGTTCACCAATTTCCATAATTTCTTGCTGACTGTTCCCTGCCTGGAGGTTGCAGGAATTTCCTGCTTATTCTGACCTCATCTCCTGAGCTGCGGACAAGGAAACACTTTGTTTTATTGAACGAATGTTCTGGACAAGCAGCTTTCAGGCTCCACGAAGCCTCCACTGCCTGGTTCAACCCGCAGGGCTTTCCAGACTATTCCTAGCCAGGCACAGCTTCTCCTGGCAAATCCCTGCTTTGGGTGGCATGGTTTACTCCGACTTCTGCCCCCCATCTTTCCCAACTGCAGCCAACCACAGTGCCACAGTGTTCCAGCCTGCTGCTGGCCTAGCTCTTTCTCAAGAAAATCACAAATCAGTGACGCTCACAGAAGAACAAACTCACCCCCCTTTTTTTTTCTGATGTACAAACACTAAATATTTCCTCTAGCAGGCAGCTCAGATGGCCCTGCTTTTTTTTTTTTTAATACCAGACTGTGTTAATAAACAATTGGAAAGACATTTTTTCCTATCACTTGTTGCCATCAGGCATTACCTTGCCAAAGGTTTCCATTAAATAGTCACCTGTCGTGATGCATGTAATGATGTATATTAAATATTTCTTGTTACCAGCATACTGACCTGGAAGCCTCTTACACCTGGGGGGCCAATCGGGCCTTGGAGACCAAGAGGACCCTGAAAGCAGAAGGAAAAGCATTTGCAAGAAGACAGTTCAGGGTCACTTAAGCTACATCTGTAATTAAATTGCCTCAGTTCTAACAAGAGGAAAGAGTTTTGTGCTGGAGAACAGTTTTCCTAATGGCAATGCTGATGAACAGCTGTTACAGTGATGCCTGGGATATACTGAAGTTTATTAATAGTTACTATTAACAAAAATGTTCATTTCTATCTTATTACTCACACTCACCAGTAGAGTGAATGACGAAAATCAGTGACAACAAAAGGTGGAACGATGATACAGTACATAGAATATGCATTAAAGGGGATCTGCCATCTCAGGACTAAGCATTTAATTGGTCCAGTTCTGCAAGTAAGTGCTGTAAAATAAGTACTGCATGCATTTAGACATAAAAAATGGCAATTGCATCCACTTGCTTGGAGATATTTTGTACCTGCAATATAGGAAAGGCAGCCTCTTAGGCTTTCTCTTAATGCAGGTGCTTTTAAAAGCCCAGCACTCTAGAAAGAACATGAACTTTATTGTTAGGAGTCTTGCTTTCTGCTGAGAAAATCAGATATGTGACAAGGAACCAGTGTACTGAAAAAGCCAAGTATCCATGAGACTGCAAGGCAGGCACAGCCCGTGTTGAAAAGGCATTTGTCTTTGCTTTGCACGCACAACTCTTCCAGATTTATTTACAATAAAATTTTAAAGCATTTATATGTATTTTCCCCTAATTGTTAGCCTAATAAATTCACCTCAGCATCCAAACATCTACTGTCTTATTTCATTTCTTCAGGCCATAATGAATAGGAAGAGGAAAACCTTTGCAAAGTGTGATTAAATTTACAATCTAAATCAGTTGTCTTATTCCTGCTTGGCTGACAAGATCAGTGTGGCTGCAACTTTGTACAGAAAGCCCAGAACTAGGAACTGTTCTGCTTAAATACAACACCAGCATCTTCAAAGAGCCGGCCAACTACTTGGGTATTTTTGTTACTCTTTTCACTTCTGTTTTCTGCTTTTAACTCAACAAGGAAACTGAGAGTTACAAAGACAGAGCTCTATGAAAGCAACATGAAATTGTGTGTAAAAATAACAGTAATTGTGTGAATTACTTTGCTGTTCTAGAGCTTTTAAAAAGGCTGGCATTTGGCAGATCTTGATGGCCTTTGAATATAAAATAAGTCTTGATTTGATATGATAAGGGAAGCCAAATTTGTTTAAGCCAGATAGTCTCAACCCTGGACAAATCCTGCATCTCTGTTTTAACGGTCCAGGCTTAAAAACACTTCATATAACTTGGGGACCTAACAAAACAGATCAGAAGAAATGAACACTGGTTCATCTGCTACTGCTTCCACTGCAGAAGTCTGTGCCAATACAGTTAAATCAATCATGTTTGCTCTTTGGCTATCATACAATACCTTTTCTCAGGCATTCAATTTTGATAAAAAAATTGGAGACAGAAAAGCAAACATTATTTACTTTATTTCTGTTTCCCCTTTCCTTGGGCACTTAAAGAGTGGCTGCTCACAAACAACAAATCATTATACTGTTCAATTTCTTCCAAGTGACACATACCAGAAATCATTTTAGTGTTGCTGTAGGCTTCTGGATTTCAAAATGAGGTATTAAAAAAATAAAAGGCACAACAAAACCCCTGGAAGGTTAAGTCCAAGCACAACAGCTACAATAGTTGGGGAGTGAGAAAATAAATGGCATCCTAGGCATTTTCATGCTGTGCACAACAATAAGAAATGCTTTTATCATATGCTGCTTAACAGGGACACAACAGGCAGCCAGGTAGTTATTGCAGAAGGTTTGTACTGCAGTTACTACAATTCCTGTAGCTCTGTATTTCTAAGGCTTTGAGATGATGCAGTGAACTGAATGAATGTAGGAACAAAACACTCCATTGAGGATCTCAGTGGATTCTAACCCTGAAGTTTCAGAAAGTCATCAGTTCACAGCTTAAGAGAGAAGTGTCCCTGCTGTACAGGGTGTTATGTTTCCTAGTGACTCACAGCCACATTCCCTTCCTTTGCAACTCCTGGCAGGATGATGCTACTGCAGGGTTGGAAGTGAGGTGGATGCGATGGGGAATGTGTGAATAGATTGCCCACCTGAAAGTTGTTTTGGCCTCATTCCATATGGTTGGGAATTTGGGGGGTGTTTCCAAGAGCTGTGAATAGCAGGCAGCTTGGTGCAAGAAAGGCAAGAGGTTGTCAACAGGCCTACAAACTCTTCAACACATTTCAAACTCCTGTCATCCAATGGGGCAACACACAGGCCGTCCAGTTTTGGTGCTTATATGGCCTCAGGGTTTGCAATAAACCACTACTGCTCCAAGGAAAGTGACATAAGGAAAGGAAGGATTTCGTGTTTCATATGCTGGTGACTATACACGTAGAAATAGCTTAATAGAAGCATTACCTCAATTGCATTCAGCCCAAACTGAACATTATTATCTGATGGGGAGTTGCTGGCTGTCCAGGCTCTGCACTGCACTGACTGCAGCGGCTCCACAAACCTCTCAACAACCTCAGCTTTCTTCGCTACATGAAAGGGGAGGAATCACTTTGTCCTCCCCAAAGACAACACCCACTGAGAATACAGCCTTTTGTTCTAGCCAGGCATTAATCCCACGTACAAAACTCTACTTTGGCAGTTATGTACTTACAGTTGCTCCCCTGGGTCCGGGCAGGCCTCTCTCACCAGGAACACCAGCATCGCCCTAGCAACAACACCAAAGTCAGCCAGGCCCTCTGGGAGCAGCACATCCAGCCTCCCCGACCCGCAGAGCTGCTGCATGTTGCTGGCAACCAGGGATTTTCCATCCCTCCACGCCTGGATCCATCCAGCTGGACTGCCCTGGGCAGTATCCCCACGAGTGCTGTAGCACTGATCTTGCTACTAAATCAGTGCTGCACTTTTGCTCCAGCTTCATGTTTTGGTTTAAAACCCGCTCAGCAGAGCTCAAGACAGATGCAAGTTGCAGGGTTACGTACAGGGATGCCTGGCTCTCCAGAGGGACCTGCCTCTCCCATCTCTCCAGAACTGCCCTGCAGAGGAGAAGACAAGTCACTTGGGGCATCTCATCAGACGGTCACTTCTGTCCTACCCAGGGCAACGTGGTGGGAGCAAAAGAGGGAGCTGAAATGTAGCTAAGGAAATAAAAACTGTTGTGCAAGGAGAAATGGCTTCTTGCAGCTATGTCACATGCATGGGAATTAGCAAAAATGATGATGCAGGTGCAGGGGAACTACAGAAATGGATGGGAGGGGCTGAAAGACAACACTTTGTAGAAGTGCTCTGTGACAGATTGCTTTGATCTGTCTGAGATTTTCTTTCATCTCATGTGTAGGTGCCAATCTAGAGCTCTTTGGTGGTTTTTCTCCTGGAACGTGTGTGTGTGTGTGTGTTTGTGTGTGTGTGTGGAGAGTCTCCAGAAGGAATGATGAGAAAATCCCAATCCTGCTTGCAGGAAACCTTAAAACTCAGATTATTCTTGCTCCCAGGCACTTGACAAAAAGGGGCATGCTTCTCTTCCTGAGATTTCCCAGACTCCTAGCAATCCTCCCATGTATCCGGACATCCGAGATGTCTCAACAAGAGCAGGGCCTCGTTGGCTGTCGCAGTGGTCAACACCTGCTCGTCACTGCCAGGAGAGTCAGCCTGGGCAGGAACACGGGCACCCTCTCTTCAAGATAAATCCTCCCTTTAGGGACACCAATCCCCCAAAGCCAAAAAACCTTGACAGAACACAGCTAATAGCTTCTCCGGCAGAACTCAGCATTAAAGAGATTCACTTACTGGTTCACCCTTCGAGCCTTTAATACCTGCTCTTCCAGGCAATCCCTGTGAAAATAAATAAATCGGCAGTGTCAGAAGTGGAGTTACTAAATTTGCTGTTCTGGTCTCATTTGACACACAAGGAACAATGTTTGCTTGCAGTAATGGAGAATTTACATTTCTGCAGTTTTTACCATGAAAATGATGGCTTCAATTTCCCTCTTGTTCCTAGCTGTCCTAGCAGCTCTGAATATACTACTGCTTGGTAATTAGAACAAGGAGGAATACACAAATAAAACTGCAGCAGCACCATTTTGCACTGCAGAAACATCCTTCCAAAGATGTTCAAGATGTTCTGCAGGACAAGAAGAAAGGAATACTTTACCTCCATTTAAAGAGAGGGCAAACTGGACAGAGAGATTTTGTCAGTGAATATTGAGTAAGCCAAGGAGACAGCTTAGAATATTGTTGAATCCTGGTCAGTTATATCCCAGATCTTAGTTTCCTGCACAAGGGATACACATCCCTGGGATGTGGAAAGCAAAGTCCACCTCAAATTCAGATATGCAAAAAAAAAAAAAAAAGAGTCAGTGAGACTGTCCAGAGGCCAAGGTACCTCTAGATTACCACCAGCTGTTACTTGAGATGTGTTCCACTGGGTCTTGGACACTGCTCCCCCTCTGTACTTTGGGAAAAGTACATTTTGCCTTGGCTTAAATGAGGCAGGGCACACAACCTCTCCCCACAACCTCTCTGTTGGAAGGCCAAGCTGCTGCAGTGCCTCGGGGACAGTGGCTGTGCTGCCATACTCACGGGAAGTCCGTTCGGCCCCTTCTCTCCAGGAACACCCATGCGAGCTGCATCACCCTGTGGATATTGAAAGGTTAGGAGGGACCCCCAAGACTCTGAAACAGTTGGACAGTTAGGGAAGACATTCACAAAGAGGCATTTGAAATCTTCCCCCAGCCCAGCAAGTGCATTGCACTAAGCAGGACACGGGGTGAGCTTGTAACAGAGCCTGCAGGAGCTGGGCACCCACTGGAAACGAGGGGCAGGTGGGTGCAGTTGCAAGCTCAGTGCTTGCAGGTGTTTCCCCAGGCATCTCCCTGTCTTAATAATCCAAAAGCTTTCCTTCCTTGGCAACACAGGCAGCATGGTCCTGTGGAATCACCATTCAAAAATCAGGCAGCTAGCACCTGACAGCACTTAATCTACAGGCAATTAGAATAAACAGATGCTTCTGTCAACAGCTCTGAAAAAAAAGCATCTCTGAAGGCCTGGAGCCAGCCAACAGGAACAACTAAGTAGAGAGGCTTAGCTGAGTTTAGATCATACGTGCATCAACTTTCTTCAGGGAACTTCCTTGAGATTAATTAACAGGAGCAATTTTACTCTTCTTCACTAGTTACACTAGTGGAAAGCTCTCTCTAGAAGCAAAAGGTCTCCAGCTATTACGTTCTTTCCTCCCATGAATTAGTAGCTTCACAGCAGGCTTGGGACAGTAACAGAAGTCTTTCTGCACAGTGTTTAAGTAGGACTTTACAAACCTTCTCACCATCGAGTCCAGGAGCTCCATCTCGTCCATCCTTGCCAGGTATGCCCTGCAACCAGGCACAGGGCAGATTAAAGTCATGACAGACATTGTGGTTTGCAAAATACATTCACATCACAGAACATTTTGGCAACAGGCCCACCTCTAGGCTGGGAATAAAGTGAGATGTTTGTCATTAACAGCTGGACAGCCAGGATTTGCTCCAACCAGGACCACACTGAAGGCTACACAAATAGGCATGCAGGGTAAAAGTTTGATAACACAGACTGTAAGATGCAAGACTTCTCGTATCATGTTATCTGCAAGCAAGACAGGGACGTGTATTCTATTTAACTGAACTTACAGGTTCTCCTATGAGTCCACGAGGTCCTGGGTTTCCTTTTGGTCCAGGTCTACCCTAGAAATCAGTAACAAATCCTGTGTTACCCAGGACACAGCCCTTAAAAACCTTAATTAAACAAACATAATAGTAAAACTCTTTAGGGATATTTCACCCAGTCTGTGCAGGCTCTTGACTTGTTTCATATAGGGATAGTGGTTCCTTAGGGTACACCAGCAAAGTGATGTAATGCTGATTGTGCATCTGACAAAATTCTCTGATGTTTCAAAGGATGGAGATAAAGATCAGAGCTCCATACTGTAGACTGCAAGCGGCATTTAGACCTCTTCTACAACAACAAGATATAAATATCTATTTTCTACACCCTGGAATGTAGGATTTCCCATGAAGGGAAATATAGTTTCCCATAAAACAAGTTTTTAAACATGTTTGTTTGTTTTTCACTTTTTTTCTGCTTTGTTTTTAAGAAAAATAATTAATTTAAAAAATGTAAAGTGTCTAGAGATAAAATTTCTATTTTTGTTAGTAGTTCGCATTCACAGTTCCCCAGTGTGTTTTAGAAGAATACACAAGAACAATTAGTCCCTCTTACAAGCAGAATTAAATAAAACAACTGAAAGCAGGGAGTGCTGACAGCGAAACCTGGAAGAGCATCTGCCAGCAAGGCCTTCCAGCTGGACCCTGCTAGTGTCACCTCCCTGCCCCTGCCTCTCAGCTGGTAACAACAAAGTTTTCAAATTCCACCTTGCTTTAAGAAAGGATGCCATAACGCACTAAAAATAAATTAAAGGGACAAGTCATAATAAAGCTGTAAGACTCCTTTGAATCTCGTGTTCAATATTGGAGTAGACTAGTGCTTTACTGCACTCACAGTGTCTCCTCTGGGTCCTCTGAAGCCCTGAGGTCCTTTGTTTCCTTGGTCTCCCTGTAACAATAAAGAAAAAATCATAAAGCATCTTCATCACAGTGACAAATGCCAACATTTCAAGAGGGTGAGTGATGAAGTTCTCCTGTGCTCTTTGCTGGCTTTACCACTGCCTGGTGCCAGACTAAACACCCTCCCCAGAGCTCGGCTCTAATTCCTCAGTTACTCTCTGTAACTCCTGATGCATCAACCGACTGCAGTGGGGACTCTGCTAGCAGCCCCACAGGGAGAAGACCATGTTCCCCTTCACTTTCTGAAGCACTTTCTTTAACAAATATACCAACGGGGTCAGAGAAAATCTTTAATATTTACTGCTTATGTCCTTCTCGGTGCAATTAATGTTTGACAGACAGCAAATACCTCGTTTGATTTTAGTTCAGATTAATTTCTTCTACAATTGTAAAAGCTAGGGAAGAATCCCCAGAGAGTGGTACTGCTTTGGTGTCATCACAGACTGCAGCGTGTTGCCTGCCACAAATAAATGAGGGTTTGCTATGAAACCGATGTTATATTAGCCACACTAGAGAGAGGCTGGGTGACAGGCCAGTGGGCAGTGGAAAAGGCCATTTGAGTCCATAGTTCTGCAGATGCAGCTCTAGTCTCATATTTGGGCACACTAAAGAGTGTAAGGGGGGTTTGCCCACAGCAAGAGTGCAGATTCTGTGCTCTCCTATGCTTCACCCCAGAACTTTTCAAACGCACATGGGTTGCATCTTTAATGCCCAAATGAGTGTTTTTGCCTTGCAGGAAAAGTTCTTTTGAGCTGTGATCTAACCACACATCAGGTCCAAAGGGAGCAGCCTCAGGACGGCACTGAGCCTTCCCCAAACCTCTTTGCCCCAAAAAACTTTACCATGAAAGCGCAACACGTGAAAGAAACGGAGGTCTACGTGAAAAGCAGTGAAGAACAGAGCATATGGGAAATGTGGTGAACTTATTCTGGCAGAATGGGGTATGACTGATGGAAAGACACCATGAAATCAGGTGAAATGATGTTGCTTTAACTGGAGGGAAAAAAGGCAAGGGGGATAATCTGATTGAGAAGGTCAACACATTCACTGACAGGGAAGAGCTTAGTGCAGAAAAAGTAAACTTGAGGCTTTGCTTGTGGAAGACCACCAAGAAATGCATACATACAGCTTTCCCTGGAGGTCCTGGGATGCCAGGTGGCCCTCTGAAACCGATGTCACCCTGCAAAGAACAATACATCATTGTAATGTTGTCAATGGCAGAGGGTAAAGCCCCTACAGTTGAAGTCTACTGCAGTCTAAGAAAACACCTAATACCTAACCTTGAAAGACACCCCATACTTTTTTGCTAGTTCCTAATACAGACTTGCAAAAGATTCCCTTTTGAATGAGCACATTTTTACTGCGGATCTCCCTACCATTATCTCTGCAATACACTGATGTCATTCATTGCTTTGACATCTTGAACAAACATGCCTGGGTTAAGGCATGGCTTTCTCCAATTCAACCCATTCAGTCTCTAGGCCAGGTATCAAGGACCCTGGCAGAAGACCAAGGTCAGAATTAGCTGGAGATTAATACAGTTCTCCCTGATGTCTTTGGTGCAGCATTAGACCTGAAACCCCTTCCATGTTCTGAAAATCTTTGTTCATCCAGTGGTTCTTTGGCTTTTTCTTGTAAGGAGATGGGAACAGAAAATTAAGTGTTCATGAAATGTTTCTCTTTTTTTTTTCAAGATTGTAGCACTGTCAGCCCTGCAGGGGCAGCATCTTGTCCTTGTCTGAATAATTAACCCTCGGCCTTATCCTGTGAACCCTCAGCACAGAGGCTCTAACTCCCTTGCAAGGATGGTCTGCCTGGAAGATGTGCAGCAAAGGGCCGGCACTTTGTATCCTTGCATGTTCCCCACAATGTGCACCCATCATCTCGGCTTTGTGAGGGTGAAGTTGGGTGGTGAAATGAGAAAATCAGGAGAAGGTTTTTCTTACTCTGTCACCAGCCGGACCCATCGGACCAGGCAATCCTCTTAGACCTCTTGGACCCTGATTAAGAAAACGATCAATTAAAAGCCAAACACTGCTAAAATATAAAACTGAATGATACAGTAACGCATCAACACAAATATTTAAGGAATACAAGGAGCCGTGGAAAACTCAAGTCTTCTGATGCACAGACTTTTCACCTGCTGGTGACTGTCTCCAAGCAAGTGACACTCTGTGGATTCCCCCAGACAGGACAGGGGGTGAGAGGACCTGATGGCTTCAAATCACTTCCTAGGTTTTGCAATATAACATGACTAATGCTGCTGTTCAATTTCAATTTCACAGTAAAAAAGCCACGGGAAGTGGTCTGAAGAGCAGGTGTTACCTGAAGGCCAACGCTGCCGGGAATGCCTGCAGGACCTGGAGGGCCAGGACTACCCTGAGAGAGAAAAAGGAATTAGACCAGAAGAGAGGCAGCTTGAGCCTGCCAACCCAAACTGAGTTATCTTCCCATCTTGTGTCTCCCTGAGCTCCCTCCCACCCAGATTTAGACTTCAGAATCTGCTTCTACATTACACATACTTTCTTTTACGTGCAAGAACACTTGATCAGTCAGGAATTTACCTGAGTGATTAATGCAGGGCTTTTTCCTGAGCTGACATCCCTGCATATGAAACAATAGGAGTTAACTTATTAGGCTGATCTCAAACACTACAGTTATTGGGAAGATGAATTTTGTTGAAATATTAATGCATAGACATACATACAAACTAATGGGAGCAATTTTACTTCAGCCCTTTGACAAGCCCAATCAAAAACTCAATTCCTCTTTGTTATTGGCCAATTGCCTTATTTTGTCCTGTCTTATTGTAAAAAACTCTTTGTTGTGGTGCTTATAAAGACAAAAATCCTCTCCCACTCCCCTTAAAATGAAGTTTACCTTCTCTCCTTCTTTTCCTATTTCGCCAGGTTCTCCTTTGTGACCAGTGTGTCCCTAGAAACAAGATCTCAAATGACCCATGTTCTAGTACCAAGTTTGAAAATGTAATTTTTGTTAGATAATTGCAAAATCTATACCCAAGCAACATATAAGGAACTTATTGGGATCATTTGAGAACCACATCCCTTTTGTTTAACTAATTCTTCATGTCGGCATTGTTAAGCTTGTGATGCAATCCATGTCTCTGGAATCATTTACATACACTCAGGTTCAGTTTGCATCTTGGCTCCCTTCCTGTTATTGTGAGAGAGACCCAGACTAATTTCAGCCATGGCAGATGTTATTCCTCCCCATACTGAAGGTCTTATGTATCACTTGCATCCTAATTGAAGATCTTCACAGGGCTTTCTATTTCATAAGTGATGAATTTTGAAAAGTTATGACCTAAATGCTGTGTGTTTCTATTGATAACTGTTAATCAACTAAACAGATCTGCAAAAATCCCAGTTCACAAGAAACTGAGAGGATTTCCCAGGAGATATTCCACCCCTTGACAAATTTGACTTTTCAGAACGAAAGACAATTGCCAAAATCAGTAGTTAAAACGTGTGTTTAACAAAGGTTGCCATCTGCAAGGGGATGTAGCCACAAACCTGTGCATCCTAGAAATGCATCCACTTTAAGGATGAAAAACTTCTTGCTGCAGTAGAAGGGAGAGTGCTCATGATCTCTCCCTTAGCTGGGCCTAAGGACTTTGCAGAATTGAGCTCAGCAGCAGAGCTGCTATTGCAAAGAGGGCAGGATCAGGCTCAGGCTCTTGTCTCACACTTCACTGCTTTAGAGAGTTTCTGTCTCAACAGCATATGCACAAGAAAAACCTTGGCTGCTTTAAATAGGTGTAGGCGGAGGTGCACTGCGTGTTGAACAGTTTAAATTCTAGTGATACATTCAGTCCTGGAGCTCATGAAAGCATTTATTTCAGGAAGCAATCCCTTTTATTTGGGATTTTTTTTACCTTGAACCCTGGCATTCCGGGTGGACCTGGAGGACCTGGTGGGCACAAAGCTGGGCACTGCAAAAAACAGAAAAATTCTCTGGTTTATCAAGTACACAGAAGCATCTGGGGAAGCTAAATTCATTCCTAGAGATCATTACAAGATCACGTCTGAGAACACACATTAGTGGCCTTTGTCTATATATCCAGAGCCTGCTGGAAAGGTTTAGAGTGGACTGAGAGGAATTTTGAGGGCTGACAGTCATCCACAGCCCAAAATGCCAGAGAACCAGTCTTCCAGCAAAGCTGGACCTGTTTTTCAAACCATTAGCAACATACTTATTATTTAAGTGCATACATTACAGATTATCAGAAGGAGACATAGTGAAAAATTAATCCAGTGAGATCATATCTGCAGGTGTCTAGGGCTGGCTGAAATCCTACTGGAAATCCAGTTTGACTGGGAACAAAACAGAATATGCACGGAAATATTATGGGGGCTCTAAAGCCTGTACTCAAAAAAAATGAAGTATGAAAAGCCTCAAGCTGTACCTCTTCATCAGGAATTCAATTTTCTAGTATATTCCACAGGGTAGCTTAAATAAAAGCTGCAGAAATAGTATCATTTTCCATTAAGTTCTACATGACTTACAATAAGGCCATCCAAACAGACTCTGAGCTTTTTTGGGGCTCACCAATTAGAAAACCGAAGATGCTGTCACAACAACAGCTGTGAAATCTAGAAATGTCATTTCCATCATTCATTGGCTTAACACTCCTTTTATTCCCTTGAAATAGAGGAATCAAGACTTTTGCATATAGAGGAATGTCTAAACAAAGCATATGCCCATAGGAACACAGTACCATCATCCATGGAAATGAACAGTGCAACATGCATAACCTTTTCTTTTACAAAGCAGGGTTGGTTGGAAACAGATGCCTGAAAGCTGTCATTTGTCAAACGTTAAATCTGTTTTTGTTAAACTGGCAAATGAGGAATGCATGCAAAAAGCTGCATTTTGGAAAGCAAACTGGAAAGCAGGATCAAGCACAAAATCAGCCCTACCATAGCCAGCTCCTTGGAAGAGCACCTCAGTTTTGTAAACAGTTATGCATGTGGGGGACTTGTATGATGTGGCTGTCTACAGGTCTGACTGGTGTGTGTTAAATGATCCCACATTCACCTAAAAATGCCAATAAAACCACATCAGGGGGTTGAAAAAAAACATGTTTTCATGTCACAAAGAGCAACTTACCTGAAGATCCCCGCCACCATCTGGAAAGATGCCTGGAAGACCCTGCAGTTCATGGCAGAAGAGCACATTTTCAGACAAACACCAGGAGGGAGCACGGGCCCTAGAGAACACCCTTTACAGAGCCAGCTGAATCAGAACGCACTGGGTAGCTCGCCATCGCACAGTGCAAACTGCAGCCCCTGAACCGAGAGCTGTCACAAACATCATGAGCTGCAAAAGTCCTCAAAACAGACATAACACTCATGCATTTTTCCACAGTTAAGCTAGAAAAGAGCCTTGAGCCCTAGGTCATGAAGGCAGTAATTGAAAGAAGCACCATGTTTGATCCTCCTCCAGGACCAGGAGCAGCTCCTAGGGAAGATCTCCCAATCCCACTATTTGACCCTCCAGAGAAACCACAGCAAACCCAAAGGAGGGCTGCTAGTCTCAAGCTCCGTTTGCTCTGTGGTTGTGACCTGCTCTTGTCATGCCTTGTGGCAGGACTCGTGCCCTGCACTGGGACAGGGTCATGTGCAGCACCCAACGCATCTCCCAGGGCTCTGCTAGCACAGCAGGACACCTGACTGCAGGTGCCAGCTCAGCCCTCTTTGCAAAGGGCCTCTCTCAGAGCGTAGGATGACACAAAGACAAACCCTGTAAGGATCCAGCCAGCTCCTGAGAGGACAAAACATTCATCTCCCTGATCTGCCTATGCCCTAAACCCTGGATATGATCAGACTACTCAACCCCTTAGAGCAGGAAGGAGAAACAGGACCTAATCAGTGCACAGAAGTGCAGCCCGTCACTGCTCTCCTTGGGGCACAGTGTTTATAGCCTGCTGAAATTTAGCCCGGAAACGGAGTGCTCATAGCAATAACAGCAAATAAAACATGAGCATTCTGTCAGGAAAGGAGAAAATGCTGAACTCCCCACTGGGAATTCTTACATTTTGTTGCAAGTTTCAACTTACAGGAGGTCCTGGAGGTCCAGGAGGCCCTGGGAAACCTGGCAGACCAGAAGGCCCCTAAAGAGAGTAAGGAAAACATAAGAATTTTTCATATGAACCACTTGAATAAAAATGTGAAGGGAAAGGAAGGGTGATTACCAAATACCACTGTATATCTGTGAATGAGAGACAAGAAATCTCTAAGGGGGCTGAATTGCACCTCTCTTTCTACAGATTATATGACTCCAAAGACAATAGCAGATGCACAAGCAAGAGTAGGAAGGAGGGTGGGAGAATACACCCTGCAACTCCATGTCTGCTTTCCGTGGCTCTGCACTTCCAGGGGGCATGCAGAGCGTTTGCTTCTGCAGAAGAGAAGCTGCTAAGATTGAAGGATCAGACCTGTTCTGCTCAGTTGCTTCATATCAAGGATACTGAAAGAGGTGGGTGGAATAAAGCTCTCAATAAAAAGTGCACGGCAGCTGCTAACTGACCATTTCTGTGAGACTGGCTGCTGTTTTGCTATTGCTCATAGTCTGTAAGAGCAGGTACAGCTGGAAGCAGTTGCACACCTTTGGCATTGCACTGGTTGATTGCAGTGACCCTACATGAGTTGACATAGGGAATAAAATAGTAAGGACTTCTGTAGAGCTTGCACAATGTCTTGCTCCAGTACAGAAAGATTCTGTTCTGCCAGAACATTCTGGCTTCCAGGCCAGAAATGAACCTCATTCTTCCGTGGCTGCAGCATGCTCAGTAGGTGGGGATCAAATGGTGGAAGAAACTCACAGGAGGACCCCGAAATCCATTTCCGCCTGGAAGCCCGCTGGGTCCTGGAGGCCCCTGTTGAAGAGAGAGAAGAGCTTTACACCCTTGGCAACCTCACAGAGCTCCCAAAGCCTGGGGCAAACAGATGGGCTTGTTGCTTAATCCTGCAGAAGAGCCCATTCCTGCCCCCAAACAATCCATTTATCGATGCTCCCACTTTTCTTTTGCTCCGTCTCCCTGTGGAACATGTTCCACGTTTGTCACCACACGTGACTAACACTTTTCTCTCCTCTGCAGGAGCATAAAACATGCAGGACTCCATATCCCTCTGCCCAGCATGGGAAAGGATCTAAGGCCTAGGGTGTACATGTAACACTTGGTCAAAAAGCTTAAGAGAACCCAATGAAGTTAACATGATAAACTTCCCCCTCGCCTTGGAAAAGAGCTTTATTACTTACTGGAGGTCCTGGTAGTCCTTTGCCCTGGAATGAACAATCAAAACAGGAAAAGATCACTTAGAAAGTGAACACACAAGGAAGAGCAGCACCTCAGAGAACGCTGCTTTATTTTTTTTCCCTTAAGTTTCCTTAGTACTCCCCTGCCTCCAGTTACTGCAATTTGCAATCAGAGCAGAGCTGGAGTCTTTTAATGAATCCTTTTGCTGCCTCTTATAATTGATATTCCCTTTACATCCCTGTTACCTAAGAGATCTCTCTCCTCTAAATAAAGCCACATATGATGCGACAGCAGGAGGCACACATTTATGAAGACAACATTCTAATTTGTTAATCTACCTTTTATAATTTTTTTGAGTCCTCAACTGACACCCACTAAAAGCCTCATGGCACAAGAAAACGCATTGGGGTATGAAGTTAACTAAGTCTATCCAAGAGGAGACCCCTAGACTCGCTGCAGGACTTGCTAATCTTTTTCTCCTGCTCTGGTCCTGCGCCCAGAGAGCGCTTTTAAACAGGCAAGAAACAAGGTGTGGTGACCACTTCTTTACCCTGCCTCCAGCTCACAACACCAGAAGAACACGAGTATTTGACTTGGTGCAGTGAGCACCAAAATTTGGCTCAGCTTGCTTGAACATTTCATCAACAAACTGACGTATGAATAACTGTTGGAAAAGGCTGCTAGTTTTTCTTAGCCTTGAGATATTATCTTTTCTTTTTAGATGCAACATTAAGAAACAGATTTATCACAAAAGTTACGTTTAAATTTTTTTTAAAATGTGGATATACATTCGTTACTTAATTTGAAAGCAAGGATTTGAGTTTTTTGTTTTGTTTTTACAAAAGACATCAGTTCTGATCATCATCAGCTTAGCATGACTCTTCTATTATTCCATTGATCCAGACAGCTAAGATTAAATGTGTGGCAATAAGTAATGAGGTGTTTAACAAAGCCATATGGATTTCAAAACGAGCACAGAACGACCAGGAATTTTGATGAAGCTGAGTAAGTCAATATATGAACAAGGTTAGCTTTGTTCTTACACAATACAAAAAGACATTATCCAACAAAGTGAGCATTCGACATGCCATTTGACATCCCAAACTGGATTGTTTTACGTCATCTCAGTCTTAGAACAGGCCCTGGGTTACCAGGACAGGTCAAACATACATATTTAACAACCTCAGTCGATATTCTCACTCACATGAGCTTGATACATTTCCTTAGGACAATAGACTTCTGTCTTTTCTCAGTGATGCTTTTCACACAACATTCCAGCTCTTCACACAACTTATGCAGCTCTAAGAGTTACTTACAGCTGGTCCAGGTGGTCCGGCAGGTCCTAATGCACCCTGCAGGAAGCAAACAGGAGAAGACAAATTAGCAAGTCAATCACAGATAAAATAAACTCCACATGGCAGGACACTAGCATCTGGTCTGCTAGATTTCACGAAGTAGATCTGCCAACTAAATTATCTGAACCTGTTTAGAAGCTTTAGATTTGTTCTAGAGTTTTATTAACTTATACACTTTCCCTTCAAGTAAAGACATCTTGATTTGGCAGTTTCTGCCTTTTCATAGTTTCCTTGGCAAATCTCCAATCACCCCTTTCCAATCTGCATTCTCACGCTTAAGCTTGGTGATCTTATGTCTCAGTCTAAAATGAAATAATTCTTAAAGTTATTAACTTCCTGCTTAACTGAAGATAATATGACACATGGGCCTTCTTAATCCTTTGTTATGGTGCATATCTGCCAACTCTGGACAATAGACTGTAAAATTAATTATAGACAGTAATTCTGAAACAGAAAGTGAATTGAAGTATAAAATGATCAAATGGGAGAGTCTTCATTATATGATGTTTTCGATTGCCGAAGTGCCTAGAGAAAGAGGGAACAAGACAACAGGTTATGGAAAGTCTGGCTGTCGACAGTTCTGTTTGGCAGGTGAAGCCACACAGAGGATTGGGATGGCTGCACACTGGTGCTGTAGAAAAACACGTTTCCTCCCTAATCATATGTATGACCATACAGGCTCGGGGTGGTTGTTGATGAGTAATATAATCCCCAGACCTCTTTGCATCAATAATTTGAGACTTAGCTTTTGTATAATTACAATACAGCACTCACTATAAATAAAACATTAGTCAGCAAGAGGATGATGTTATTCTGTGATAAAGGCAGACTTGGTAAGAGAGAAAGTGACAGACTCAAACACAGAAGCCGTGCCATTATTTAGAGACTCTGTTAAGATCAGGCCAGAAAAATCATCTTCTCACTTCACGGGGATACCAAATGAGATTAGAAATGTTTTCCCTTGTTAGACTTAAAGAGAAAGATCCCAAGGACCCAGTGCCTCATTAAGATCCGTCCTGTGAGAAAAGGGCTATAATCCAATAAGGATCAACTCTATTGCAAACGTCAGCTCATTCAGTTTTCTTGCTGCATGTTACTCTGCTTTTCTTCTGGTTGCTTTTATCTTCAGTCCAAAGCCCTTACTGATGCCTACGGGACAAGCTGGGATCTCTTCCCATAAAAGCGAACACTGAATTCCTGGCAGCTACAGATTTACACCTGCCCCCACTGAAACCAGCTGCATGGCCAGAAGGTTTGGGGTAGACTCAAAATGCCCTGATGTTGGCACTTGACACTCAGCAATTTTGATATGTGAGAGTCTAAGATGGAGCACATAGGAGTAAACATCCCTTAAACATCCCTGGGACCGCAGGGATGTCCTTGAGCAAACTGATGTAACTTGGTTAAGTTCAAAGGAAGAACCCTAATCTACACCTCTCTCTTAATAACTTATTGCCTGACGCACAACTCATTCTCCTGATAACAATGTTCTTTCTCTTTTGATTAGAAAACAATCTCAAGGTAATTTTTCACTCTAAAGCAATATAATTTGTGAACATACAACTATGGAGCCCAGGAAATATATGAAATTTTGAATCCATAAATAAATATGAATAATTATGTACTCTTAAAACACAGCACTTTATCAATTATTTAGAAACCTGCTGATTTACTGATGCTTTCAGAATTGCTTATGATGTTAAGAACTGAACTTCAAAACAGTCTTAAGAAACTTTCCAGTGAAAAATATCAGCATCCAGCAGCGAGGTAAGAACCCAGTTCTTCCTAGCTAAAAAAAAAAAAGGCATTTTTTGTTGAAAGACTAACTAGGCCTGACCTGATCAGCCTGTAAGCAGAACTGTGACAAAACTTGGGTCCTTTGAGTAAACAGTAATGTTTACCATAAAAACCAATCTTGTATGCCCACCTTCACAGTACTCTGTCTGGTCTGCTGAGTTGGTGCATATAGAACAAAATAAATATTGTTAGCAGGATATTAAAGCTTGTCTTCTATGGTCACACTGCCAAATGCCTAGGCCCTCCATTTCTGAAAAAGATGTGTATTCAGAAGAGTTAAGCATGAATCCAATCCCACAGCAGTCAGTAAATGCCTGCACTGATTCCTGCAAGACCAAAATTCATTCTTAAATCCGGGCAGAAGAAATAAAGTCAGAATAATGATGCTGCTTTAGAGCATTAAAGCTCTTTTTTTTTTTCCTCCCAGGATTTTTAGACCAATTAAAATAATTTTCAAGAAGGAGCACTGACCTTGAAAAGCTCCCATAAATGAGAACGGGTCCAAAGCTTGCCCCATGCTGACAGACTGAGTTGCAAGACATGGGAAAGCACATCAAACCTGAGCATGTAGTTACAGTAATTCCCCTCAATTACTCTGCAGACTGGGAGTTTGTGGGCTAAAGTGGGCAAATATTACCACCAAACCCCAAACTGAGGCAGAAAACCACCTGCAATCTCCTATGTGTGATCCTGAACTACTCTGTTTTAAAAATGAGGGAACAATTCCCAGATTCCCAGACTGCCTTGCTACAGGCAGTCTGAGAGCCACCAAAATTTCACAGTCTTGGATCTCTGAGGACAAAGATGGGCCTGAGAAAAAGCAAAGGAGAGAGTTTTTAGTGCTGGTGGATGCAGGCTTGGATCTGTGGCTAAAACACTTTCCCAGCAGCCAAGGAAACCGTTCCTTGCACCCTGGAAAGGACAGAGACTGTATCAAAGATGCGTGACTCACTTCCTCAGCTAAAGGAGACAACTCTGAGCCTTGAACTTTGGGACAGAAAAAAACATTACTGGGAAATAGCGAACACATTAGAAAACTCCACTGTGAGCACTACTTGCTTTTATCTCCCCATGTTCTTCTACTGCAGCTCCTGAATTCAAAAAACCAGTGAGTCATTAAAGTTCATTTAAATTAGTCTAATGTGGTACTCACGCGATCTCCTGGAGGTCCATTTAGGCCAGGTGGGCCATCAGTTCCTGTTAAACCCTGTGAAAACGAAAGAAACATGTGAAGACAGAAAAGAAACAGAGTATTAAGAGCTGTAGGAAATTGCAGTCACTGTCACCATCACAGATCTCCTGGATACCCTGCTCTTAGGAGAACCTAACCATGTTCTTTCGCTGTGTTCAGGTTCACAGGAAGGAGCAGAGTCAAAGCAATCTCTGCTGCTCCCGAAGCACTTTAGATATGGATGGGCAACCACAAAGTAGTCCTGCTACTGCAGTTTATTGAGCTGCTGCACCAGAACCTAATTTGCTTTTCCAATAGACACAATGAAAGTTGATGAGATGCTTTGGGAAAACACCTGTGCCTACATAAATATTTAAAGCATAAGATGGCAAAATACTCACATCCACTCCAGGAAGGCCAGGTAATCCAGCTTCACCAGCTGCTCCAGGCTTCCCTGGTGCACCTTTTGGCCCCTAAAACAGATAAAAAGGAGATTATTTTTAACATTAGAACCATAGAAACATGGCATCTGTTGATATAGGCTAGAAGATGGAAGTTTTATTCATGTATTAAAGCATCAAAATGGAACAACAGATCAAGAGGTGGGTGAGGCAGTTTATACATCCTGATTCCTTCTCAAGAGAGAACAAGCTGGTATGGATCAGAAATACTTACTGGTGGACCAGGCAAACCAGGAGGGCCAGGCTCTCCCTAAGTAAAAGAGAAAAGAACCAGTGTTAGTGCCAAACCTCCCCCTGCAGCGGCTGCACACAGCCCTGCTGCTGTGGCAGAGCTCAAGTCTCCCTTCGTGCCTGCTCTCCAATTCACCACACTTAGCACCTCTCCAAGCAGCCCTGCTCAGAGCCCTGCTAACAGTCTTTCCTACATTTACAACAGCAGACCCAGTGAATCATAGAATCATAGATAGCAGACCCAGTGAAACCACATCTAACTCCTGAGCCTCTCAGAGAGAATCACTCAGCTCTGAATGGTGCCCAATATGTGCAATTTACTCCAGAATTACTTGGGGATTTGTTTTCACTTAGGGTGCAAACAAGTGGAAGAGAGAGAAAGCTGATTTACTATTCAGGGTTTCACACATCTTCCTGATGAGAGAGAGATGCAATAATAAGTTCCAGGACTCTAGAACATATCAGGAATTTGTATTGTTCCCAGCAGCTGGAGCCTATCAGCAAGCAAAGAGTGAACAAACTGTCTCCAGAGACTTTCTCCATATGGTTAAACTTTGAAAGCAAAAGCAAATGAATGCTCCCATTCCCCAAGTGATTTCTTTCTAATCCAATCACACAATATGGACTTACAAAGTCTTCCAAGGCCCACCTGCCATTTTGCACGGAATCCTCAGTCATTTTTCCCCCCATTCTAATAGAAAGTCACTTGTAAGAACAGCATTAAAGGTAGCTGTGAAACAAAATTTAAAAAGCCTTTGAATCACTCCTTCCAGCTCAGCAGCTCTTGCTCAGGAGCTCCCATGGACCTCCACCAACAAGATATTTGTGTTTTATTGTTAGTTCTTGAAAGAGGCGATCGTCTGTGTAAGAAAGGAGCTTGGCTGTAAAGCCAAAGACCTTGGCTCCCTTCCCCATCTTATCCTGAGGCCAATCACTTTGCTCCTCCGTGTCCCAGATCTCTGTATGGGGCCCTCTTTGCTGGCTGTAGGATACGGGAATGAAATACTGTGAGCCGAAGGTGAAGGGCACGCTGATACCTTGGAAGAAAAAACCTACATGGAAACAGGATAGTTATTAACTGAGCAAGGCTGGAGGTAACACTATCCCCACTGTGAGCCTGACAACGAGGAGTTATAAGGCAGGAAGCAAACTGGTGGGATTTATAGCAGGTTTCTATATTTACTGGATCAGCAACTGCGCAGTCCGTGGGCAAATCTCTCTCCAGACTGGTCGCCTTGATTTGGGCAGGCACCGATGTACAAACCGCGCGGGGACGGAGCGAAGGCCCCGACCGCAGGGGCGTTGCACAGAGGGGTCTTTGTGCGCCCGCTGGATGCTGCGATTCCTCTGCTCTCCTCTGCCCACAGCTGTTCCATAAATAGTTATCATTATCATAGGTGGGGAAGGCTCCTTGGCAGGAAAATGAAAGGAGCAGTTCATTTGGAAGGGAGGGTTTGGAAAAGGAGCTGGAAAAGGCAAAATGGGTGGTTTACCCTCTTCCCTTCATTTCTCTGCATTTCCAGCCCTCTGCATTTTTTTCTGGCCTGTGATGGCAATGCATACTTACAGCAAGGCCACAGCATTAGCAAAGGCTGCTCAAGCCCATCTTAACCCTCCATCCTGCCACTACGGACCCCCGGGGAACTCAGCATGAGCACGAGAATTTCAGTGAGCTGAATCAAAAGTCTAATCAGTGTTTATATCCCTAATGCCAGATCACTGGGAATTAGAGGCAGCTGCTGTCAGCAAAAGGAAGTGCTCTCCTGAGTGCTACAGGAGAGGGAAGTTCACTTTCTTAGTAAATCTGCATTAAAGTTAAACCAGGAGACAAGGGGCAAGGGGGTGGAAAAGAGTGATTTTTGAGAAGTGACAATGGCTTATTAGCAATTTGGAGAATTACATCCCGAGAAATAATCCACAGGAACTTGTCGTTAATTCTTTTGATCACAACATGCTGTTTCTATTCTTGGGAAGGAGATATTTTGCTTGTTACTGAGTATGTGATGTGAAGTGTATTAAAGCCTGTAATTACAAGAGACGTCAGAAGGACGGAATGATGCAGTTCCCACTGAAAAGCAGGAATCAAAGCAGCAGCTTCTAGGAACTGGGCCGATGGGGTTTATGCAAGGCTTGTTTAGAGGCGTCCTGAATAATTCAGCTGTATCTTATGCACTACTCACTGCTCAAGGCCTAGAGTAGGGCACTGTTGAACACTCTGGCAGCCCTCATTTAACCAAAAAAAGTTAGTGATTCTGCCTACACGACATTCATTTGAAGCCACTTGTGAGGATGGGAGCCCTTAAACAAGAAGGTGGCATCAATGTGCTCAGCACTAAACATAGAAAATTCAGCTCTGATTCCCTTCTCCTGTGCAGTTCCTTAAGGATCCTAGCCTGTCTCAGAGTTAACAAGTCTCAAGCTACGACTGCAAGATTTAGCACCTTAAATCCTCTACTCAGCAGTTTAATTAATTAGGACCAACTTCTTTGTATTAATGAGGTGCTGCTGTTTGGTCCTGCCCTGCAGGAACATTCTGAATCTTTTAGCAGTGGATAAAAGAGCCTGGGCTTATGTGACCAGTGCTGCCCTGTGTGCAAGAGCAATCAGAAGCGATGCAGTTCCAGAGGAAAGTGTAAAATGTCCTGCAGAAAGCAGGAATTAAAAAAAAAAACACCACTATTGCATGGATTTGTTCTTTCCCAATTCCCTGAAAATCGTACAACCTGAAGTCTGAGTCTGTCCCTCCCAAGTCCTTCTTCTTCCTGCTATCTGCAAAAATAGCCACTGTTCCCTGAAGCCTGCTGACCGCACTGATGTCCTGCTGCAGTGAGTTCCCCGTGAGCACTGTGCCCAGCCTGAAAGAGCCACCTCTGCCCTCTCCAGCGTGTCCCCTCTTAGGCCTTTTATTGTGAAAAACAGTGAAGAGAAACTGCTGAGGTACCAGCTCTGAACTTTCCATGTTCCCAAGCCAGAGTGATTTACAGTAAAACGTCTTCTTTAGTCCAAGGAACACTTTAGAAGGAAGAGCTGCAAATCAGTGATGTTTTCCCTTCGCATCAGCCTTGCTTACAGAGCCACTGTGGAAGTGCACTACTGTAGACACAAAAGCTCCTTGTTCACCATTTACCAGGAAACTAATATATGTTTTTTTTTTTTAACCTTCTCATCCAAAAGAAAATTGCCAGCATGGAATGAATAGAATTTTTCAAGACTGCTTAAAGGCCCAAGTCCAAAAAAATTGTTAGATGTGTTAAAAAAATTTAGCAGCTTATAGAGACAAGCACTACTCAGACTGAATAATGAAACCAAACCTGGTCTTTCAGGTTCAATATCTTCTTGCTGAAATTCATCTGATGCTCTTTTTGGCCTGACTACAGAACACAATAGTCTTTATCCAACAGATGCACTGAAGGAAAAGGTTTGACTCCTGCAGAAACATCAATTCAGAATTACAGGACAAACTTGCTTCCTTCACTAAGTTCTGTGGTAAGAAATCTTCTGGTCGCTGTTTGGTTGCTGAAATATTTCATTTGCCTCTGGCAGCCACTAAAGATACTGTCACATCCAGAAACACGTGGACTGCCCAGTCTCTCGTGCCTATGGAAATCAGGGATAGCCACACTAAGCTCGCTGAAATAAAACCAGGGTAAGTAGAAGCAGAATATAGGACTGCATAAGTTCAGTTTCTCAGGGCTCTTCAGAAACCTGGGTGCTCTGAAGTGTCAAATAAACCTCTCAGGGCTACAGAACACACTGCAGTGCCAACCTGCGTTCACACGCAGACTCAACCTTCCACATTTCATTCCTCCTCTTCTCTAGACACCAAAAAAGAAACGTGCAGCTTTGCAGGCAGGGTCCCAAATCCCCTTGCACAAACTAGTTTGTCTTGAAAGAGGGGGCCGATCCCGCAACGTGCTCCGCAGCACCTCTGGCAGAAGCAGCTTCTTGCTCTCCCTCAGCTCCTGCACGCGGCGGGTCCTCCACGTCCCCCCAGCTCCCAGGGCTGCCCCGAGGGCTGCAGAACCAGGAGGGCTCCCTGCAAGGCTGAGTCTGCTCCGCTCCACCCCCCCCCCGCCCACGCCTGCCCTCTGCCACTCACGTCTATGCCGTCCTTGCCAGATGGTCCAGGGGGTCCTCGGGGTCCGGGCGGGCCTTGGGGTCCTACTCTCTAAAGGGTTGGGAAGAGAGACAGAAGAGTTTATTTTTGCATCAGAAGGGATACA